GAGAAGACGCACACTCAAATCAGGACACAAGGCCTCGCGTATCTTTTTTCCCCCTGGTCCTTTTTCCGCTCTTAAACAACCCTGCCTTTTCGGGTCTTACATACCCCCCTCAGATGGAGCCCTGTCCGCAGGGCTGTCTGGTTGTCGTTTCCACGGTTTATTCGGCTACTGGAGTGGGGACGATGGGTGTCACGTCCGCGGTGGCGGTAGGTAGCCGTCCTCGGTACGGTTTCAACATAACAAAATGAGTGGTGAAGGTGGGTCCATCGGGGAGTGAAGCATCACGTAATACATACGTGGTGGGGTGTATGACGTCGACGACCACGAACGGTCCTTCCCACGGGTGAAAGAACTTTGCCGACGTCCCTAAGAGTGGAACCGACCGGAAACGCCAAACCAGATCGCCTAGTTGGTAGGGGATGCCGTGGACCTGCCGGTCGAAGTATGCTTTTGTCGTTCAGCGGCCGCTCCTAGGTGGTTACGTGCGAGTGTGTAGGTGGAGCGTAGTAGATTCTGTAGCCGCCATACGTAGTTGTCTGGGGCGTATTCGCTTGCCGCGGGTTGTGGGAAATGCGAATCTGCTGTAAGGCGAAATTGCTGCCCTGTTAGCATAAAGAAGGGTGGGTAGCCAGTTGACATGTGCGTGTTAGCACGGTACGCCATCATGGCACACGGTAGGCGTTTGTCCCAGTCGTGGGGGTGATGGTCTTCCGCGAAAGCCTTCAACAGTTGGTTCAGTGTACCCTTGGTTCGTTCCACCAATTTGTTGCCTTCGGGATGTGCTGGGGTGGTGCGGGTCTTGTAGATATCAAGGAGGTCGCAGATCTATTGCAGCAGTTTACTGTCAAAGTTAGCCCCGCAGTCGGAATGTATCGACAACGGTACGCCGAAACGGCAAATCCAGTTGTTCAAAATCGCATCGGTGAGCGACACTGCGTCTTGTCGTAATAGCGGTACAGCTTCTACCCATTTGGTGAAATAATCAACCATCATCAGTATGAACTGATGACCGGTTGTTGTAAAGGGAAGGGGGCCGATTTCAAGCCCCAGCCGCCGGAAAGGGAAGCTAGTGTGCGTTGGCTGCAACGGTGCTCGTGGTAGTTGTCTAGATGCCTTAAACTTCGCCAACCTGGTGCATGTATTGCAGAAGGTGGCTACGTGTTCGCGTAGATGGAGCCACCAAAATCGTTGTCGGGTGGCGGCGGCTTCTGTCTTGGTTTGTCCGACGTGGCCTAACTCGTTATGTAGATCCGTGAGAACAATGGGTACAAGGCTTCCTGGTACTACTACCCCGTCGGTTTTTGTAACCTCGTCCTTGAGTAGAAGAATATCTTCGTCGATATGCAGCCGTGACCATTGACTCCGCAGTATGTGTGCCGGTTTGTTCATAAACGTTGGGAAGACCAGTGTTCTCAAGCTGCATCCCTGACCGGGAGAAGGCACCCCTCGGGATTGATGGCTGTCAACTTGAAGAAGTAGACAGTTTTAAATACCTTGGGGCGAGGCTGCTGCCTAATGGACAGAGTAAGAACTACATTGTCTCCAGAATCGATGCTGCCCGCTGGTTTTTTTCAAGCCTTCGGAAATGCCTGGGGAACCGACCTGACCTTTCCATCCCCACTAAGATTCGCGTGTACCGGCCATCTGTCCCGTCTGTCCTTCTCTACGGTTGTGAATGCTGGGCTTTGCGCGTGGAGGACGAGCGAAAACTGGAGGTATTTGACCACCACTGATGGAGGACCATCCTTCGAGTGAAGTTCACCGACTTCGTCTCAAATGAGACAGTCCGCGCTCGCTGCGACAAGGATAACTCAGGCCATCCAAGAAAGACGACTGAAGTGGTTCGGGCATGTCCTTCGTCGTCTACCTCAGGAGCTCAGTGTTACTGCCCTCGATCCGGCACCGTTGCCCCATTGGAGGCGTCGAAGAGGGGGTCAGTTCAAAACCTGGCTCGACACAGTTCGTCAAGACATGGAGGTGGTTCTTGGACCTCCGGTATTTGGTCTCCGTCGTGGGCGAAGGGAATCGGTTGGGCTGTCTAGATCTGCCGCGGATCGTCACGCGTGGAGAGGTACAGTTCGGGACATCATCGAGGCCGGCTAGATCAGGCATGATTGCAGCCGTATCAAGTACAAGTAAGTACGGTATGTGTGCCTCTTCCGACGACCCACACAATTCATCGTCTGTAGGACGGTGCCGTCGCTGTAACACGTGGTCGTAGCCTACTGCGGTATCGGGGTCCGTGCTCTGGGCTATTGCCCAATGATGTCTTGTTGGTTCACTGGCGTAAATAGCGTTGATTTCGCCTATAGCAAGGTCTTTATCGAGTGTTTCTGAGGTTGTTGGCCGCCGGGACAAGGCGTCGGCGTTGCCGTGCTGTTTTCCGGGGCTGTATATACAAGTGAAATGGTATTCCTGTAACATTTCCCGCCAGCGGGCGAGTTGACCTTCTGCGTCCTTCGTGTTTTGCAACCATTGTAGCGCCTTATGATCAGAACGGATGGCGAACGGCTTACCTAGCATTAGGGCCGAAATTGTTTAACAAAGGTGACTATGGCCAATAGTTCTCGTCGGTATGTGCAATAATTTCGTTGTGGCTTCGTGAGTGTTTTGCTACGGAATCAGATAACGCGTTCTAGGCCGTTACCGTCGACTTGCGATAGAACACCTCTCATGGCGAAAGCACTGGCGTCCGTGTCAAGGACGAAGGGTGGTGTTGGGAGCATTAGTACCGGTGCTGTCGACAGACGGCTCTGAGTTCATCAAACACAGTTTGGCATTCGTCCGTCCAACGAAATTCCGCCCTTTTTCAGCTAGGCGGTGTAACGGACGCGCAATGCTTGCAGAATCACGGATGAACCCCCGATAATAGGATGCCAACCCAAGAAAGCTTCTGACGTCCGTGGTAGAGTTTAGTGTCGGCCAAGTGAGTATGGCTCCTACCTTTTCGGAGGAGAATTGGATACCCGACGGGCTGACTTCGTATCCTAGGTAATTAACCTTCTCTCGAAGGAATTGGCACTTCTGCGGGTTAGGCGTAAGGTCTGCTTCGCGCAGCGCTAGGAGCACGGCGCGTAGATTGTCGATATGCTGGGTGATCGTTTGCCCGAAGACAATAGCATCATCAAGGAATATGAGACACTGGCGGGGATAAAGGTGTGACAACACTACTTGCATTAGTCCCTAGAATGCAACGGCCGCGTTACAGAGAACCAAGGACATCGTTTCGAATTCGTACAATCCTTGTGGCAGGATAAACGCCGTCTTTTGGCGGTCTGCCGGTTCCACTTGCCAATAGCCGGACTTTAGGTCAAAATTGGAGAACCACCTGGACCCAGCTAAGGCGTTAAGCGTACATTCAATACGTGGTAGGGGAAACGAATCTCGTGTGGTCACCGCATTCAAGCGTCTGTAGTCAATACAGACACGTATTTTGCCGTCTTTCTTGGCAACTAATGTTACTGGTGATGCCCAAGGACAACGAGGTTTTATCGCCCCCGTAGCCAACATGCTATCTAATAACGTATCGACCTCCTTTTGCAAATGCGCTGGAATGCGCCGTGGTGGTTGCCAAATGGGCTTCTCTGTGCCCGTTTCAATGGCGTGCCGTATAAAACTGGTCCGGCCCAGTGTGTACTCGTCCCACGCAAAGACATCGTGAAACCCAAGTAACATCCGTTTGAGTGCTTCCGTCTCAACGTCGGCCTGGTCTGCTGTGGGGAATATGTCGTCAATGGACGTCGGAGAAATCTGCACTGCCGCTTGGATTGCTGCACAGGCAGCCGTTTCGCCTACGATCGGAAGCTTCGCCGGGCCTTCCGCATCGGATTGTCGGAACTCGACTCTCCTATTTCGTACGTCGATGTGGCATTCGTAACGAGTTAGAAAATCGGTCTCGAGGAGGATGTCCCACGTGAGGTGGGGTGTTACGATAAATGCGTGTTCGTCTGTGAAATAGAGAAAGGTGACAGTGAGCTGTATGGTCCCGTGATGCGTTGAACGTGATCCGTCTGCCGTAGTCAGTCTCACTGGTTGGGGGGCGACATTACGCTGGCGGTGGATACAGGGTGGTAGGATTCGCGGGTTAAGTAGGGATACCGTCGCTGCCGCATCAATCAACGCCCGTACAGTCTGATCAGCTACTGTTACTCTGGCATAAAAGGAGGCAACTGATAAAGTAGAGCTGGTGCAAGAAGTAATAGAGACGGTATCCGTTTTCCTTTGACAGGAGCAGACTTGGTTGCGGGGAAATGGTTGTCCACTTGGTTGGCGGAAAGGTTTACCTCGGCGATTGAAGGACGGGCGGTCCGGGCCGGTAAGACGCAGTTTAGGGTAATAGGTGTCTCGTCCCTCGGCCGTAGGGTGGCTATTCCGATCGCGTGTGTCTTCGAGATGAGGGGGACGGGAGGCTGAGTGGCACAATCGGAGATAGAGTTCGACCCTGGCGACGGCGTCTTGTATGTCGTCCAGGGGCTGCAGCAAGAGTGAGCGTGACAGTTCGGAGGAAAGTAGTGCTTTAAGGAACTAATAAAGCACAGTATTGTCCTTCGGTTCCCAACGAAGGGAATGCCACGGTCGTGAGGCGTTCGAAGTCCTCCACCAGCTGATTCGGGGTTTCATCTAGTTTTAGTCGTCGATCATGCAACTGTTCTATAGCGTCTCCAAAAGAGCAAGTCTGTCCAAATAAATTAACCAGGCGTTGGCATAGCGTATCGAATGGTAAATCGGCGTCTAGCCCTATGTCAAGCGCTTTATCTGACTGTTTAGGCGCCAGCGCCTTAAGTAATGCCCATGGTCTGTCGGTCTCTGAGACCTCCCGCAAGTAGAACTTTGCTCGTCAGAGCCATACTGTGCCGTCCTATTGTGGTATCTCGACGGCGCGTGACGTGCTTGTCTTGTTTCCAGACATTTTTGGGGGCTGTGAGTACGGTCGTTGCGCTGCAAGCACTGCAGTAGACAGACCGCTCTGAGGTTCCAGCTGAGGGACTATTTCCTGGATAATGTCGGCGCGTTTGACGGAGCAGGATGGAGACGGGGTTGCTTTCCCCTTTCCTGAACGGTTGGACTTGGATTTTGGCATCCGGCGAACAGACAAGATCTCAGCACACGAGGTATGCCCCTAGTGGACAAAGAAAGTCCAACACACAGACAATATATTGTGGAAGGATGGAGGTATAGAAACGGGGGAACAAGAAGCGTCTGAGGCGCGGGTAAGTCTCGGGGAGTAGAGGGGGAAAAGAAGATGCTTGGGCGTCAAGAAGGTGGTTCTGGCGGCACCATATCCACAGGGTCCTAGACGGTGTCCGGGTTTAGTTCTCTGTCCCCATCTGAAAACGCCATAAAGAAAACGCACACTCAAATCTCGACACAAAGCCTCCCGTCTCTTTTTTTCCCGCTGGTCCGTTTTTCCCCCGTTTAAACAAACCTGCCTTTTGGGGTCTTACACACCAATCCCATAAGTAGTAGTGGCGATTAAGCGTGTCCCCCCTGCAGGGCTGATGGTGTGGGTTACGGTTCATTACAGGTGTTCTGTTCTCACTTCCCCGCCGACCCCTTTCTCGCAGTTACCGTCGCACTGTACCGAATCTCTCGCCCTACGTCGGCACTTTTCAGAGCCCCACCCGTAGTTGCGGACAGCGCTGCACTACCCACCGGGTGTCTAACTGACATGTCGCTATCGTCTCTTCATCCGAACGGGTCACCATATCTACCGTAATTTGCATCCCCCCTTGTATCGTTTAACGTTTCCCTGTGTATCTATCCCGTTACTCATAGTATACATATTGCGCACCACTTGACTTTTCCTACTGTCAGTTTGGATGAGGTCGGTGACCCGTTTGATGACTCTCTTCAGCTCAGATTAGCCATGTGTGCTACCCTCGACGTCTTCGGCCGCCACACCGTTAAAATGGGAAGTGGTGGTCAAAAAGTTCTTAACAAGTTCAGACTTTCGACTCCAATTGGTGAGTTAGAGCTATGCTCATGCGGTTTCGGAGTTCATGCGCTGCAGCTTTCCCGAAAAGTGATACCGTAAGTCGAACTGTATCTCCTAATTTGATTTAGATCAGAGATTGAGGTAATGCGTTCAGCGAACGGAAGACCTCTGGTTTCTACTCTGAAACCAGAAAATAAGTCGGTTGATACTGTGCTAATGAAAACAGTGGCGTGGCTATCATGCTACTTCGAAAGTAAGTATGCTTCTATTCCTTGTCAATTTTCTGTCCGCCGACTGCCAAACGAAAGTACTAGGTGATTTCCATCGTTTTCCCTAACAAATTACCACAGACCCGTTTATTAGCAACTGTTCAGGTTTGTCCTGGGCCGCTCTTCTTACTTGGTCCTTCTATTAGTAAGTTGACTGCCGGTGTGCTGCACTCACGTAGTAAAGTTGGCATTTTAATGGAGCGGACGGATCAGGTGTAGAATGGCATGCAGTTAACCCATGCTTATATTCTTCTCCAAAAGAACTATGTTTGCAGATTACAGGCCGAAGCCTTTGACATCCCCAGGATTGAGTACAAAGATCCATCTCTTTTGTGGCACCAAATAATAGCACATCTTTCTGCGTGGCTCCTTAGTCCCACTGATTTGGATTGCGAGGTCGAGCCTAGGTTGTTGACTGTTAAAACTTCTATCAATGACATCGTACTGACTACCTGGTGGTTTCCTGACAACGGTGCCGAGATAGAACGAAACACTGCGGACATCTTATCTTAGATTAGCAAACGGTCTGCCGTCGTTCCGTGTCCTCGAAAGCAAAGTTTTGTCCTTCAGCCTACGCTGTGTTATGCGCTCCACCTCCGGAATATCCACAAAATCATTGTCAAGGCTGTGCAGTAACTAGGCGACTGCTAAGGACGGCAGCAGCGCTGAAAGCCACAGCTATCATCCAGGATCTATCATCCTTGCTGCCAAGGGCAACTGAGCAAGTATAGTATACTAAAGTCTTATCGTTTGACTGAGTCTCGGTCATTACCATGCTTGTCTTCAGGACGGAGTCCGGAGACTTCCCCGATCGAAAGCCTGACTTTGCTGCAAGAACCCGAGTGATCGGGCTGGGTTTCCGTTTGCCATCAGGTGCGTTGTCGAAAACCCGCACCATAGCGCATCCTCAAATTTGGAACTGGCCACAGACAACGGTGTTGGCTGCCTGCCCAGCTGATCTCCTTTCATTTCTTGGTTCTCTTCATCGGAAGCTCATGTAGCTGATTCCAAAACTAGTTTGGCTATCAACAGAAGATATCGCCACGATTTAAATTTTCCTTTGTTGTGCTACTGCTCTTCTTTTCCGTCCATCTCGGCCTCCCGACCTTTCATTGGAAACGCCAATGTTCAGCAAGACTATACACATTGAAGAAGGAGACACGATCGCCGGGACAAGAGCTTTATTAGCCTGACGTTTCGGATTCCTACTCGAATCCATCATCAGAGACAAAAGAGCAGAAACGGGTGGTTGTTGCACAAGGGGCTGCGGTATTTACAGGATGCAGTAGCCATGCTACCGCATACCTATGAACGTTCACGGCTCCCCCTTCATCCGGAATTGTCGCACTTGGTGTGATCATTGCTTGATGGCCGACATTCGAGTCGATAATTGCTGCAATTTCATCACGTGCGTTGGATGTTGGCGTGATGATTTCTCGACCATCTGACGCATCGACCCCGGTGTTGGGATGAGTGTTCACCTCAACGTTCCCCGCATGGCTTGTTACCCCGCCTAGGCGAAGTTTCAGTACGGAGTATGGAATGGGAAGATCGTTGCACTTGTTGATGGACTGGAGGCCCCAGTCCATCAACAAGTGCAACGATCTTCCCATTCCATACTCCGTACTGAAACTATACACATTCGCTAATCTTACCTGGCAGCGTAGTTGACTGAACAAAATAAATTGATGTACAGGGTTGAGGCGATGTCGCGTTTGCTTTTGGACTCTCGTTCACAATTCAAAGACCCTGCACCTACCACTATTTCCACCTCGTTAGGATTTCAGGCTCGTCGGACTAGGAGAAGTAAGCACTGAGTGACGCAAGATTTGGTGTCATCACTTTTCGCTGTCTCTGCGTCGTCCGATCAGTGCCCCTGCATCTCCCTTGTATCTGCTTCGCACGAAAGCCTATGAGGTCCAGCAAACGCCTCCATACTTTTCTTCGTATGGCAATTGATTCCGGATTGTTACCCCTGTCTCGTGTGCAGTCCTGACCAACGTGACGAGTTTGTTGACGTCTTCCGACAAGTTCAACTCGCACAGGACCTCGCGAGTGAACAGTGTTTGCGGTAAAAGTATTGATGGGCCAGGTTGCCTAGTAGTTACTAAGTTAGCCAACAACGTTGGTAATATCACAGCCATTAATGGCTCCTATGTGTTGATTAGGTAATTACCTCATTACTCAAAAAAGTCCTTCGATTGAAGGGGGAAACGTTGACTTTTATGACTGCAATTACGTATCTACCGCATGTCATATGTGCCGACAGCTTCAATTACCTTGGGGTCATGTTACTGCTATATCCATCACTGTTTCCGTTGCCAGTTTTGGTCGGCCAAATTGTCTAAGAAACCGCACAAGTGATGAAATTTCGGCAATCGAATCACGTGCGACCAGCTGTGATGAATGCGCAGCTGCCAATTTCTACAGGCATGTGGTGGCATAGCAACTGCGTCCTGCAAATACTGTAACACCCGTACAGCTCACAACACTTATATGTTTATATCTCTGAGAATGGATTCCAGTGTCAATCTGAAATGAACGGCGAATATACCTCTTGTCCCATAGATCGCATCTCCTTCTTTCCCGCAGAGATCGAGTTAGTAGGACATTAAAAGAACATTAAACTTAAAGAATATCGCACGGATGAAGCAGATGTCGACTGCCTACGAAGGCTCCATACAAGGGGCTTCAAAAGTGACCGTGACCTCAATCACCTCCGACCAATCGGCACACATTTCTCGACTGTATGGTTTACGTAAGATTCATAGGGACGGTTTGCCAGTTCTTCCGATTCTGGACATACTGGACTCTCGGTATCATGCGATAGCGAAGTAGTTACCAGAGAGATTCAAGCCCGTATAACGACGGTCAGCACCACGCAGCTATCAGAATACCTTCGAATTCATTGACCACATCAAAGGTCGTGGTCTTAACGGTTTGGTAATGTTCTCATTAGATGTCTCATCACTTTTTCCCAACGCCCCGGTCACCGAAACAGTTAGTGACATCTGCGAATTCCTATAAAAACAACAGGAAATAGGATTTTGACGGACACCCCCAAGGAATTATTCCTAAAATGCACATAGAATTTGCAGTTCCTTTTTGACAACCAACTCCATGGACAAATACACGTCGTTGCCCTGGGCTCGCCTCTTGGACCCCTCTTGGCAGACGTCTTCATGGATAAGCTGGAGAAATTTCAATTAAACGATCAGATCAATAAGCCTACGTCTTGCATTCGCTTCTTCGATGACATCTTTGCATTTGCTACTGTAGAAACCGACGTAGCTGCCCTTTTAAATGCTGTGAATCGGGCACATACATCGACCAGGTTTACACGAGGAACGAAAGCGGCTAGTACGTATCCTTTTCAAACAGGAGACCTGACGGTAGCGTCCGAAGGAGCTTCTATCTGAAGAAAGCCTGGTCTTGACAATACGCGAACTTCGGCAGTTTCGTACCCCTTCAACAAAAGAAAAATCTTATCCGGTGTTTGGTGCAGAAGTGTAGAAAAATCGGTTCGACAGACAGCATCGAGGAGGAACTTAGCAAAATCCAGAATTTGATTCACAAAAACGGGTATCCTGAAAGTTTTATTGCGAAGAGTATTGTCGGGCGACCGGAAAACCCCACCACACTGACTGCTGATAATAAAATTGTGTGCCTCAAAGTCCCTTTTCAAGGAGACACTGTGAGTGAACTAAAAAGGCGCTCTGGCCAAGCAGTCTCACGAAATTTTCCAGCAACAAGGATTCGAATATTATTCTCTACTAACCTTTTTCTTACGCAGAGAAGGTAAGGATAAGTTGCCATCTCAGACCACCTCAATGTGCATCTATTCCCACACATCCTCCTGTGGAGCAGGTTATATTCCTTGTATGAGTCGATGCCTATCCTAAAAAAAATAGGGAATACCTCCTGGTTTGGCTGTAAAAACGCGAAGCTTGGAGTACAAACAGCGCCATTCTTACACGTGTTGCTAATTCGGGTATCTTGTGGACCACAGCGAAGTTTTTCATGTGACTTATAAGGTCTCCTCAAGCTGCTCTAAGCTACTGGGCCAGCGTCTGTTAGCAACAGCAGAAACGGCCGCAATCAGGTTACGAAACTGGTTTTATTTGCGCAGGAGACCTCGTCCGGGCTCCGCACATAGCAAGGTCGACTAATTACATGCACCCCTCCCCGCCATTCAGCTTTCAGCCCGCCCCTGTCGTTGACTCTTGCCACCCACACCCGGCCTGTGCTTTAAGACAAACTTTGATAAATTCCCCTAATCACTGCCATGTTTGGTTTGATGCCGTCCCCATATAAATGCACGGGTCTGACGAGAACCTATCGAAAGCAAATTTATGCTAGCCATCTAATCTTCCGAGTACTGTTCGAATGCCTTCTAGTTCTGAGGTAGGTCCCCTTTTGCTTTCCATGTTTAAGGCATGAAATATATCAGAGTTTTCCCTTATTTCAGGTTTGTTATCACGCAATAAACTGGACGCATTCGATGTTGACGCAAGACTGGCAGTACTAAGGCCGCCAATCTGTTCTTTGGACCACGAGGATTCAGAAGGTCCGTGTTTTTTTAAGGAAATATTCTTCGAAGTATTCGTCTGGGGGCTTGATGCGTCTGACAAAACACTTACTTTTACACGATTATAAGTAGACTAAGGAAACACCACGCCCTTCGGCCTTTTATTTCGTTTTTTATTATTCCATTTACCCATTGACGGGATTTTTATGTGACCGCAAATTAAGCCGTATTTGGGGCTCTTAAGCCTACCCGAGATTCCTCATAGGACCCAGCAATTTTGCCATCTCCCAGTGTGAGATTGTCGCGTTACTTTTCAATCCGGCAACTCTTTTACACCTTTCAGTTTCTCCCTTCCAACGTCTGGTGTATACAACCTTGGTACAGTGTTGTGGGCTAGGCAAGCAAATTTCCTACGGACGGCTTGCTCAGGCGATGGAGAATGCCGTCTGCGATGGGCGGCCACCAAGAAGAGTTGCTCCAGTCGCTGTGGGCAGCGCTCTCAGGAGAAATGAAGTAATGCTGTTGGTTCCCTGTCATCGAGTGGTACCAGTGTTCGCAAAAAAGGCCAGCAATTCGACCTCTCTGACTGGCACGGGTGCCTATGGTGGTGTTCCTGACTGTCCAATCAAAAACTGGCTTCTCCGACGTGAGAGCTACGTGTTTGCTGATCGATAAGAGGCACTTTGTCACTAACTTTTTTTACCATGATTTTGGGTACAATTTTTTTCCAGCGTTCCTCCTCCCATTCTGCCTATTTTCTTCAGATTTACCCCATCATTTTCTTATTGGACGTCCTCAGACACCTTCCATGCTATTTTGCTCAAGACAATCATTCCGAAAAATGTCTTCTTAATGTTTTGACGCTGCGCGGAAGTATGGATTTTATTGAATCCTCCGGACTGTCAGGGCGAAAGTTGTAGGCGGGGAGATGGAGGAATCAACCAACAGGCTGGAAAAGGCAATAAACAAGGGTGGTGGCAGAGGAATTCCTTTGGGTAGGACCATATAAAAGGGAATTTATTGGAACCAACAGGTTCCTTAAGCACTTCCTCAGCCACCTTTCGTCACATCCGAACGTTAATGACGGTTGCGCAAGAAGGTCGCTTGAGCACTTGTATCCCACTCTTCTACCATGAGGAGCCCTCTTGATGACGGTTCGACGATGCCCACCGTGTGCTCCACAGCAGGGTGAGGACGGGGGCGGTGGTGACTTGCGCGTGAATCAGTTTGTGGCGATAGACTTGCGCAGCGTCTACCGCACTTTTTTGCTCTCCTACCTTGGCCTGATGTCGAAGCGGGGGGGGGGGTGAGAGAGGTCACCGGTGACTGACGCGGCCCGAGCCGCCGCACCCGGACAGGGTCCCACTCGGTAATGATTTATGGACCTTGTCGAATCCCGAGTTGATTTTATTGCATCACAATCCGTTACTTATTTTGTTTAAGTAGGCGGCATGGCTAGGATCTGCGTCTCTACAGAAAGGCTGCATTAAGTGTGCCGCTCTTTCGCATGCCTACTTTTAAATGGTTACTTATCTCAATGGCCTTCTTTCCTAGCGTTCTTCAAGGTCTATGGAAGTGACCCCAGTCTGACTGCCAGTCATATACGCCTCATGCATTTTAATATGACGTCTGATGGTAGGCTACCAGCATGCGTTTCTATGTAGTAAGGGGTTCTGTAAATACCCAGAAGCCTTTAGGAAGGCTGAGGTGCTTTTGAGGTTATAGTTTAGGCAGCTGTCCCTCTTCGACTGCTTGCGACGAGGCGGGTGGTGTTATTTGGCGCGCCTTACAGTCGCATGCCGGAGTTCTGCAAGGAAGCCAGGAGCTTAGCATAAAGACATCAAAACGCTAACTGTCCTGCTTCTTGACTGCATCGGGGTCGAGTAGAATGTGCCGAACAGCACTGATCGGACTGTGTGTCGGTGTTAAATCCCCGTCAAATCCTTGTAACTATCACTGATACGAAGTTATTCTGCTGTTGTTGCTGGGAAGTCTGACTACGCATACAATCTTATTTCATTAGCGTAACTTGGAATTTTGGGCAAGGGTCGGTTACGCTGTCCGGGTCCTATGGGTAAGCAAAATGTAAGCATTGAAAGTAAAGTAAGCCGAAGGAGGATGCTGAAATCGTCCAGTTGGGAAAGTAGCCGTGGCTGCAACGGAAAAGGCAATCTGATGAATGACGCATTTGTCGCAAGACTGCAGGAAGCCTGGAATTCCCGCAGAAGACCTGGCTGACAGGACACGTGGTGCATCAATACCTCAGACTTATCGCTAAACCCAACCATGTCATCCGTTATCTTCCTGTATTAGTTATCTATGTATTAAAACATGCACTCAGGGCAATAACAACTCGACTCCTTCGACAGACCTAATTACTCAACGTCTCATCTCTCTAAAGACCCCTATTACCGCCATTTACACGCAGTTTACAACCATTCACACAGTTTTCTATGTCCACGGTTTTTGTGGCATACGCTGCCACCAAGCATGTAAATAAGGTGGGCACACCTTCAAATGTCTCGTTTTCGGAACGGCTACAATTTCACTGCCGAAGTCGGGGCGCAAATTCACTTGTCTGCCCAACGAAAGTTAATGGCCACCATGCGTAGTGCGCGCTAAATAAGTTGCGCTTACCTCCTCCTCTGCCCAGGGAAATGTGTAAGTGCTGCTTGAAGGCTGTTTGCTTAAGAATCATCAATTGGCTAGGAATGATGCTTACTGTTGTGCTGTGCTCTGTAGCCTCATCTCCGAGTCACCATTTGCATTTAAAAGCGTGTTTTCACCTTTCGGACAGTGTTCTCCCAACAAAGTGAACCTCCGAGGAAACAATCTTGCAACCTACTGGCTGGTACTGCATCCACACCGTTAATCTAAACTGTTATGTCTAAGACAGACCACATAGGAAAATTCTGACGGAGGGGGGATAAACCACACCGCTGGATTGTCCTTGGCTTCGCCCGCTTCATACACGTATGACAGGTAATTTGCGGCGTCTAAGGGGTCTACGCATCCCTCTCACTATATTTTTGCCAATTGCTAATCGTTTCAATGGCCCCTTTCCCGTCAGGCAAGGCTTTCGTGGAAAATGCGGCCAAGTAAACTTCACTATATGTGTGTTTGCGACATATGAATAAATAGTCACTGGTATATGGTTTGTTATTGAACAGGGAGCTGCTCTTTAAACAGACGCGTTTGTATTCAAAACATAACGCAGACTTGGGGCAAGGGTCGGGTACGCTGTCCTGGTCCCAAGTGCGAGCGCAATGTGGGCCTTGAAAGGGAAGAAAGCCGAAGTGGGATACTGAAATCGCCCAGTGGGGAAAGTAGGCGTGGCTAAAAAGGCAATCTGATATATGACAAATTTGTCGCAAAGGTGAAGGAGGCCTAGAATTCCCGCAGAAGACCTGGCTGACGGGACACTAGTGCAGCAATACCTCAAACCGA